CAAGACAGGGCATGTCTTTGTTGCCCAACATAGCTTATGGAGTCACAAATGGAAAACTGCAAGCCAGGTACCCAAAATCCCCAGGTACTGGCAGAACATGTTTCACTTCTTTTCTTCTCTACGTAAAAGTTATGTTAGACAGCGGGCTGTCTAGGCCAAAACCCAACATCCATCAGTGACCAGCACTGGCAAAGTGCCTCTGTGGGGTCAGCATTTACATCTGAGACAGTCTACATCAAGATTCAGAAAAGGCGCAGAGAGGCACTTTGATGTCAAGCTGAAAAAAACCCTCTGATAACTTGCTGAAGACATAGTCCATTGAAATAGTAGCTCAACACAGCACTAATATTGCATTGTTCGATGCACTACGCACAGACCCAAAGTGAACCGTTCTGCACGGTTCTCCTTCTGCAAACTGCAAGAGATCTGGCTGGTATTTTGCTATTTTAAATGCTTTATCTCAAATTACCTTTCAGAAAACGACAGCTCATTCTTTACTGATCAGACAAAAAGACAAATTTAAAGGCAGAAGAAAAAGCTCTGGTGCTCTGGTACAGAAAGTACATGTTTTGTATCCTGTAACTGAGACTCTTCTTTAGTTTATTGTTCAGAGAAAAAAGAAAAGGCAAGCAGCAGACAACTGAAAAGGGCAATTTCTTAATGGTAAAATTACAGCACCATTGGATCCCATGAAAGAGTTTTATAATAAAAGATTAAATTTCTTTATTTCATATTGTTCTTCAGGGTGATTGAATTTAGAATCTGACTGTCTTTAATCACAAAGAAAGGTAATTAAAAGGCAAAATAATAAAAGAAAAGATGAAAAATAAATATGTTGCTAATGCAGCTGATTGCATTAGCAGAACTGTTTCATTTATGAGTTTTGTGGGTAAATAAATGTTCTTAGGAGGAAAATGTAAAATCCACCACTATTTCAAAAGGCAGAACTTTCTGGAGGTGAGGGGGAGGACGAAGGGTGTAGAGAGAGAAAGAGAGGAGGAAAGCGGAGGCTACTAGGGGGCTTCATGGCTGCTGTTGCCCCTGCCTGGCCAGGTGGACACGGACCATGTCTTGCAGGGTGGATACCGACCGTGCCTGGCCAGGTGGACACGGACCACGTCTTGCAGGGTGGACACCGACCGTGCCTGGCAGCTGCCTTGTTTCCCTGCTTCGGCCCTTTCAGCTGCAGGGATTTCAGTCTGTAGTTTTATTGGGACCGAAAAGAAGAGAAAACTCTAACTGTGCTTTCATCTTTACTATCTATGAAACGATGATCAAACCAGGAATTTAATGGACTTTTTTCTAGATGTTTGCACAATAACAAAATCGTTACTATGAGTTTAAAAGATCAGTTCATTACTAGTGCAGAATGAAATAGAGTTGCACAGTAATTAGGATTGCTGTAGAATAGCACATTTCCTTCTTTAACAGCACATTAACAGCTGTTTAACATGTGCTTCTTCAGATGAATCAGGCTTTGGGGACTGCATTTCCCAAAAAGTAGAAAATAAGACTTTACCCCTTTCACTGAGTAAATCAATCAGAATGAAGAACTTTGATGGGTACTTCTGCCCTCTTTTGTCTTTAGAATTTTTTCCTGGAAATATTAACATTTTAATCTGATTTCTTTTAAGCTGCTTTCAAAAAAAGAAAGCTTTCCAAAAAGGTAATCTAGAAATCATCAGCCCTAGTCCTTCTGAGCCTTTAAAGTTTAAGGTTAAGATGATGACAGCAGTATTGCAAGGAGGCATGTCCTAATGCTCAGTGTTTACGTTTGTGCTAATGCTGCTAGGGCTTATATCTTATTGCCAAATGGAAGTGGAAGGAAGTTAGGCAGAGAATTGATTCCCTTTGTAAATTTTATTTTCAGATATGATGAATTCAACAGCAATTGTAGCAACCCATGGAAAGGAATATTACACTGGGAGATGTGCAGACTTCTGAGATGAAGAGCCAAAGCAATAGCCAGGCTCCCTCCTGTTCTTGTAATTGTTCACCGCATTATGAGAATTGATTCAGACAAAGAAATTCAGTTGTCCTTGGCAATGAGACAGTCAAAGACTTTTGCTGGTTGGCATTTCAGAGAATTCATCAGACATTTTAATCTGTTCATTGTTTCACTCTGTCTGCGAACAGCTACAATGAAAATACAAATATAGGAAAATTGAGAAGGAATTGCCATAAAACCCAGTTCATTGGAACAACTTATTTTGTACAAGGCAATAAAGATTGGCAGCATGCCGTAGAGCCTTGATGTTGTTCATCATACTCTGATTATTACAAAAATGAGGGAAAAATAGGATCAGGATAAGAAAGATAAGAGCATGAATGAGTTTTGATCTGTTATTTGCTTACAGCAAGCAGTGCAGTTTTTCACTGTGTTTGCTCCACCAGATATTAATGAAATACGCAGTGACCCTTGGACAAATCCAACCCTCGCTCTATGAAAATTTCAAAAATTGATCTTAGATCTCATCAGAGACGTTACAGAGCCATTTAACTTTCTTCTCTGGGAATGGGCACTGACACCAAGTTAAAGATTACACTAATGCTTTGCTCAGTGTCATAGGCACAAAAGAAAAGAGTTTGAGACAAAAGCTTTAAGGCAGAATGCTTCAAAACGTAATGAAAAATGGTGATGTATATTGAATTTCAGAGGCCTAAATTCTGCAATGCTTTTTCAAAGTTCCTATTAAATGCTATTTCCCTTTCTTCAGTACTGGAAAATGAGGTGAGGAAGCTTTTAGGGGCAAACTGTGGCTGCTCCTGTGCTGCATTCCAGAAGAAGAGAAAGGCACAAAGCCTTTGGAAAGGATCTGGGAGCTCAAGGAAAAGGTTTTCCCAATGCTTCTGCATTCAGAAACTGCAGTGGCAGCTTTTCTGGTTCCATGGCACAGGGACCCCAGTAGATGGCGATGGTTTTTCCTCATACCATGCAAGCCTCTGTGATTTAGGAAGAAAAATGCACTTCCCTCCAGCCTATCAGTTACACATTTTTTTAAGTAAAAAAGAAGGCTAAGAAAATAATAATAAAATCACACATCAATCTGAAGAGCCAGCTCAAATAATGAAGCTGCCAAAGCGGTGTTTTTGCGAGCCACTGAAAGGCACAGGAAAGTATTGACACCTCCAAAAGCCACTGTCCTGTGCTACAGGGGATTAAATGAGTGAGATGAATATTTGTCTAGAATATGGAAAAAATCTGTCAAAGCCTTCAGTGGGAATTCAAAGGGCCCAAAGGAACTGTTTTACACATAGAAATAAAGAGAATGTTTTAGAGATCACTGTGGATACCACATTGAATGATAACTTTTGCACATTGCTATCTAATTTGATGTATGACAGCTCTTTCTCGTAGCTTGTCATGTATATGCATTATGGGAAAGCACTTTACAACTCTCATGACAGAGTGAGATTTTTTTCCTCAGTATACTTGTTCAAAAATGCATGAGTTTCACTACGCAGACAATAAAGTACATTTATAGCTCTATAACTGTATAGGAAGTTACTTCTGATAGAAAACACTGCAATAGAGAGACTTTCATTTTTTATTTTCTATTATATCAGACAGAGAAAGACTCTGTGATGAGAACCCCCGTTACTGGTGCTGTTCAGTATTAGCACTGCGGTTACCTAAGCTGCCGGTGGTTAGGCACTGTTTAAATCCCCTATACAAAACATCCCATGGACCCTACCCGAAAGGCCTCTCTCAATCCTGTGGCACATGACAGATAAGCTACAGGTGACAAAAATCCAGGAAATTCTTGAGAGCGTCAGACAATGCTCAGATATCAAGCAGGAGGGGGAAAAAAAAAAAAAAAAGAAAATGGAAAAAAAAAAGGGAAAAAAAGGAAAAAAAAAGATATCTATCTTGGACAGAAAAATGCTGTCAACAGAAATAAGGAAACTTAAGGCAAGACAAGTAAAAGGCAGAGGTCAGCCTCAGATGATCAAAATTAATCGTGCAGAAAAATCCCAGTACCTTTTTTATTACTGAAATAATTCTAATTCCCTTATGAGTCCAGAAATCTACCATCAATGCAAAAGAATTAACCACTCAGACAGGATCATCTTGCTTTGCTAGTGCACCCTATGCTAAACAGCCAGGGGCTGATGTAGGTAGGAAAAATTCATCAGTGAACCAGTGAAAACGCTTTAAAAACCTGCATGTCAGAACTAACCACGCAAACTTGTGACTTTAACTTTCCTGCTTTCACAGAGGTACTCCTGTCGTGTCCTCTCCAGCTCGTCCCTTCGCTGTAAGCCTTATAACAAACGCTGGCAAACCTCAGCAAACCAAAGTTGCAATTCGAGTGAGAAGTGGTGTGTTTAATCAGTGAGTGAGAGCTAGAAAAGGAGCTGCATAAATAGATTTTCAGGAGAACATTGGTAATGTCAAGAGACACTGGCAGGGGCAGGGATGAGCCATTTTTCTTTCCATCACGTAGCTGCGTTCATGCCCTTCAAACAACCTTTCTGGGTTCATTATCAAACATTTGTCTTTTGATGTAGCTCATTGCTTCTGCAAGCCTATATTGATTAACGTGTTTTAAGCTGCCACGCCTGCTCACAGGAGCCCCTGGTTGGGTGTGAAATGCTTCAAATGCTGGAGATCCTAGCAAAAAAGCCAAAACTGTTTTGATGACTCATTTGAGTCAATCGTCATGCCGTGCCGATTGCTGGATTACAAGGGAAAATGAGGGGGGCATCAGGTGGCTTCTCCCATTTTGCTGGGGATGTCACCAGGGAGCACTGGAGCAGAGCTCCTCCAGGGAGCAACACGTAGGAAAAACCAGGTGGGATCTGAACCACGCACATTGTGTGCTCTGAAAAGATGCAAGTACGTACCTGTTTTTAAGGAGACGACATGACACACCTCAGAGACAAACAGCCTG